CCGACCCACCCAACAACTCTAAGTTCACAGGGCAGAGCAAAAGTCAAAGTTTCATGAACAGTCACAAAGAGGCAACACCAGGCCAGTAAACTGTAATCCCATTCTCATGATCAGGTTAGCTGGAGGAAAAATAGAAAGCGTGCTGCCCTTTTAGGACATATTTCCACTTGATGTTTGGTGAATTTTGTACCTTTAGTGACCTAAAGGTACAAATCTGGCACTGCCACCAACCTGTTTTCCAGCCAGGATCCTCTAAACTGTGCACACAAACCCTGGAGCTGTCACACACTTCCTCTTATATCTTGGCAGGGAGTCCACATTTAGAAAGCAATGCTGGAGCCAGGAATATAAAACCGAGCAGCAACCAAAGTGGGCTGCTCATGCTGCTGCTGTCGCCCACCATTCATATATGATGTGTCATGTGTGACAGAGCTGAAACAGGAGAGCCTTATGTTCCCAAGCGGATGGTTTTTGCTTGCTCACAGCTTCGTTAACGTACACAGGCTTCAGCTTCGCCAGGTGGCCACATGCGTCTTTCGCGCAGGCTAATGCTCGTTAATGTAGGCAGCAGAAGCGCCTCTCTGCTCCTGACCTGATACAGTACCAGTGACGCAAATAGGAGGGAAATACATATGGTGCGTTCAAAATCGGTAGATCACATCCAACCTACAATAACTCCGGTACTAATCAGGAGTCCAAGTAAAATTGTGCCAACCTGACGTCTGTACAACCTGTCCTAACACAGACAAAAAAAGAGAGAAAGAAAGAAAATCCAAACCCGCTCGACCTCTCTGCTACCATCTGAAGGTAAGCTAGCAACCGCTACTCGCTGCTAGCGAGTGCTAGTCCCCTGATTTATTTACACATTTTCCAAGCGATATATTAAAAAATATATTATACACACCAACACATCTATTTAATGAAAGTACTACCACTCGTACAACTTAAAAGCTAATTGCAAACCTACGGCCCAATAAGCTGTGCAACATAAACCTGACAGTGAGCACCGCCCATCTCTGTTATCCATGCCTGGTTTGTGATGGTGTGAAGTCTGCCAACTTTGCGGAATGTTAACAAAATGGATACTGAATAACATGGAGTCTAGCAAACAAAAGAGCGTTTACCGCAAAGCTGGAACAATATGCCACTTAGGTTTCTTTCTTTTCTGCAGGACAGCGAACTTTATTTGTTTGCAAGGTAGCGTGGCCTATAGTTTTTCAATCACAGTCCACCAAACAACCGTGCTACTGTTGGCTGGCTTGTGGAAGTGTGTATATGACTGTGTGTGTGCTGTCGACACACGGGAGGCCTCGGCAGGCCCACTGCTTACAAGCATTTTCCAGCTGCTAAACCTTCATTTAAAGCTGCTAGGAGTTGTGGCAATATATTACCAACTCAACAGCTATCATAAGGCAAAAGTGGCTACGTTAATTAGCTAACTCGGCCTAACGTTAGCCAGGCCTGACTGAGGCTGCTCGCGTTAGTGCTTTGAAAACCATGCCTGGCTTTAGCAACTATCAGCAGCAGGCTAGGTTCAGCTAAACCGTTTCCACTTGCTCAGAAAGCTATGCCTGCAAACCACATAGGATAATATTCACAACACAATACCTTGCAAACGGCGTTTTCACTCGTTTCTCCCGGTTTGTCAAGACAGTAAAAGGCAATCCAGGTGCTCCTCCGAACAAAAACCGCTTTGTTTTCCTTGCTCGTGTCGCCTCCCCTTGTTTGTACTGTTGTTAATTGTGCAGCCCCTGTTTCCTCCTAGTGCTTTCTCTGAGCCCGACTGGTAACGTTAGCAGAGAGCGGCTGTCACTGCAGTGTCGTCTAGCGCCTCCGGTGGTCGCCTCGTGCAACAACAGTGGGGGTTACACTGCAGGGACATGCGAGACCACCGCATGAGGGCGCGCTTACTCCATAGACAGATCATGGGACCTATAAAATGAATTAGGTAGAACCCCAAGCGACAATCTGCTGCAAATAAATGTACGTATGAGGTGTCTTAAAAGCTTAAAAGCACTTCCTTTAGCAACAACAACATTTCACTTGCACTGAACCATATGATCCCACTTCTACAGTTTCCCTGCAACAGTCCAGGATGCAATATGAATACGAACATAGGTCACAATCTGTACATGCACTAAACTTCAATAGAAATATGTCTTCTTGCCTATAAATATCTTCATGTCCTCTGATCGGTAATAAAACGTTCAAGATATTTTACTTTATTACAAACTTTAGGATTATTGACTTAAAATCAAGAAATTTGAAATATTTGTCTTCCTTTTTTAACTATTTCAGTGTACAGAGAGCATATGTGGAACGAAACCTTAGCACCCCATTTAAGGTTAGAAACCAAGGCATTTTAGGATGCAGTTAGCCTAAATCTGGAGTACACTGTATCAAATGTCACCTGAAGGAAATATTGTACTTACAGGTTATGATTTGAACTCAAAGCATTATTATTTCATCCAGTTTTGACAAATGAAATGATCTACATTAACACATTTGAAATAAGTCTACATTTTGAAATAAAACTGAACTTTGTTTGAAATGGGCTTTTTTTAAGTTGTGTGGTATGCTCTCTCGATTAGCACAAACTCTTCCTTAACTCTAAACAAAACAAATATTGGATGCATTGCATCCTTCCAAATTTCTAAATTATTTAGTTGTACTTTAAGTTGTTTTCTAAGTGATGATGCATAGTATTGCCAACAGCCAGAGTATTTTAAGGCCTCTTGTATAGGAAAAATGTTTTGTTAATGTACAATACACAAAACCATTAATTCCTTAGATACTAAGTTAAGAATGTGCAGGCAGTGGCTTGAGAAACAGACAGCTGTGATTCACTTTAATAACCAAAGCCTCAGGTGAGAGCTAACAGAAGCAGGAAGAGGCTTTAATTTTACAGCTGTCTGTTTAGCTGCATGAAGTGGGGTTTAGCAGCTGTTAGCTCCAATCTCTGTTTTTCATCTAAAGGTGTAGTAAGGGTTCACCTAGAGCTGAAAGTTACATGTTGGGGGCTGAGACCGAAGGAGAAGGCTGGTTTCTAAACAAGAGAAGCCTCAGGTGGAGGATATTGGTGGAATATGGCTGACTATCAAAAAGTAATTGCAGCAAATATCGCCCCCTCATAAAGCATCATCTGCTTTTGCTGGCAAACTTCTAACGAAAAATGAAAGCTTGTTTCATTATTTCATCAAATGTTCATCATCATCAGATTTGATCTTAACCCGTAAACAGTTAACTGAGTAAAGTCAATTGCAACTACATCACCCAGATGTTTTGAGATACCCACTCACCAAAGCGAACACTGATGGGATCGGCAGTCCTGCATGTCAAGCCCTTGCATACAGGTAACATACCTGGTGTATTTGTGCAGTCTGTTATACTGTAACAATTCAGATCCTCTGTGTTATTGATTCCATTAGAATTCAGAATTCAGTAGTACTGACATTACACTTGCTGACCATGCTGGTGCAGGGTCAGACTTCAGAACTGCTTTAAATCTGCAGAGTTTCCAATCCACCACAACCCAGAGGTGCACTAGTGGATTGAGATCTCAGAGATTCAGAGATTCACTTTCACATAATTTTTTAAACAACTGGTTATTGGAATTATTGTTGCCTCGGTACTACTCAAAGCTATCTGGCCATTTTCCTCTGACCTCTGGCACCAAAAAAGAATTTTCGCTGAAGAGAGAACTGCAACTCACTGAAAGTTTTCTTTTTTCAGAAAACTGTTTTCCTTTTTTCTCTGCAAACCGTAGAGATGGATGTACGAGAAAATCCCAGTAGATCAGCAGTTTCTAAGATACTCTGACTTGTCTTTCTCAGTAGCTCATGAGCTGTTTCGGGGCTTATTTTGCCTTTGTTTTTGCCACTGTCTGCCACTGAACACTGGAAAAAGATGGATCAGTAAAATCAAAACTCTATTACAAACACTTTTGTTATAGTAGTGCGACAACAGCCCCACAGTGGCTTCACAAAACCCACTCCCTTTAAAAAATACAGACGCCTACTTAACGCTTCTCTGAGGTTATGATGTATTTGGATTGGTTGCCATGTGTTACACCTGGCCCCGTCACCGACTATCTACTGGTCACTTGCCAAAGGCCGAGCCTCCTCCTCGTCCTCCTCTGGTCGAGCCCTGTGTGAAGGTTATTACTCACTTCATGCTGATTAAGTTTGGGTGAATAGCGCTCTTTGTCCGACCTCGATTCCCACGACCCGGCATTCGCCTGGCAGTCGCGTGGCTCTGAAACAAGGGCTCCCACTTTAGGGGACCCAAAAGGTAGGAGGACGGGGAGGGAGCGAGAGAGGGTTGAAGGGGGAGGGGGTATCTGGTCAATCTGACATCTGCTCGTAAACAGTTAACAGCAGATGTCTCACATTTAAAAAACACCGAATGTGATAAAAGCAGGCTAAATACACAGCGTGTCCCCCCCCTCTTCTGCGCTTCCACAAAGGTACAGCCTCTCCCAGTGCAACCAGCTTCTGTTAAAGTAATTCAGACGTTTTAAAGGATATGATTATGAACTATAACAGGTGACAGAAATATATTCTCAGGTGATTTGTCAGCCTTTTTGTTTCGTCCCGTGAGCTCTGAGGAAATAGGTTTGGTCTTTTTTTTGCAGGTGTAATGTTGCCTTTGAATAGAATAGACGTGGGGGTCCCGGGAGTAAAGCACGGTAATTGCACACTCTTGTTCATGCCTGGGAGAAGAGGAAACTGCAGTTTTTTGGTGTTGTTGTCGGGTGAAGAGGGGGGGGGAAGGGGGGTGTAGCGCAATGGTTTCAGGCTGGACATCTGTCGCTTGTGAGCTTTTTTTTTTTTTTCTAGGCCGGGTCTCTCAGTTATTCAATGGAGCCAGTGACCTGTCAGTCTTGACTGATGGGACCCCGTGTGTGGGAAAATCCCGCAGCCAAAGAGTTGGCGCATTCACATGCTAATTGCGCCCTATAAATAAGAGGGTCGCGCCGCGCCGAGGACCCTAGAGACGAACTGAGATTCAGAGGAGAAGGGACAAAAAAGCGCGCGCACAAACACACACATATACACATACACACACCATCACACACCACAGGTTAAAACATGACTGCTTCATCCATGACGCACAACCTGGGGAAACATCCTAGCGCAAAGGAGGAAAGAAAGGTACTGGACATACCGAAGACGGGTTTCTTTTTGACCAGTTTTTTAAACGAATCCAGCATGGTGCCTCTCCATCTTGTTTTTGTTCCTCTTACCTGATTTGGTTACTTTTTTACAGCTCAGAAAGCCGCTCATTGAGAGAAAGCGGCGGGAGAGGATAAACAACTGTTTGGATCAGCTCAAAGAAACCGTGATCGGAGCGTTCAGGCTGGACGTGAGTATTGTCCTCACGTGTCTCCTCTGAGCAAACAGCGAGGGCTCAATAATAACTGAGGTTTCTCCTCTCTCGACAGCAATCCAAACTAGAGAAAGCGGATATTTTGGAGATGACGGTGAAACATCTGCAGAACATCCAGAACAACAAAGTTAACGGTAAGGAGCCGGGCACTTGATTGATTACGATATTACGAGCTTTGTTACTGCTGTTATTCATCGTAATAAAATATTTTTATATCTCCGGTTTTTTTTTTTAATTTGGTTAGGCGTAATAAACCGATAACGCGTGAGAATGAAAATCCACTGACCTATTTGGCATTAGGCAGCAGGGGGCAGCATCAGCACATATCATGGCATATGTTGGAGGTCTGACAACGTTTTCACTGGGTGGTGGTTAGAGCAGTGTGGTATGTGGAGCTGCTGGATGGGCGAACGTGGAAAAATTAGAAAATGATGGCTGTCTGAGGTGCTGAGCCATGGATGGAAATGTCATTGTAGCCAACCGGTTATGCTGGTTGTGCTGTTTCCTGTTACCACCAGGGGTCGCTGTGACACATGTATCTTTTTCTCTCTTCATTCAGACCCCACGTTAGGCCTCGAGGCCCAGCAGAGATACAGCACGGGCTACATCCAGTGCATGCACGAGGTTCACAACATGCTCCTGACCTGTGATTGGATGGACAAAACTCTGGGCTCCCGTCTGCTCAACCACCTCCTCAAGTCTCTGCCTAGGTCCACCGATGAGCGCCCCCTCACCCTGCCCACACCCAGACTCGATGCTGCTCTTCCAGCCACCCAAGCCGTCCCAGGGTCCCCCCTCAGAGTAGAGCAGTTCCAGAGAGAGGCTGGACCTCAGGAAAGGCCAGCACTCCACAGTTCCCACCTGGGGACGCTTGAGATGTGGAGGCCCTGGTGAACTGCTGGATTGATGATCTTGGTTGTCCATTCCGTTAGACCATCCTCTGTTATGTATCTTATAGATATGCTGCTCAGAAGACAAACATGTGGGGCGGTTTTTGTTCCAGTGATTATTATTGTAGGTGTGCTATAATGATTCTATACAGACCTTTTCTCAGTACTTCCCTTCAGAAGTTGACCTCTTGTAGCCTGCATTATAGAAGGCTCTTATTAATCTTTCGTCTATTTATTGTATTAACAGCTTTATTTATTGTTATTATAAGGCATGACTTTGCTTCTTAGACCACCTGCTTGGCCTTTGCATAGATTCCTCCCTTGCTGTACTATTAACCTAAACATTATTAATAATAAAACTTATTTTGCACTCACTCAGATTGTATGATCTTTCCAGGTGCTCTTTTCTGTTGGATCTTGACAGGAGTACTTTAAGGTCTAAGAGGCCTACAAGTGTTTATTGTAATATTATGTTACAGTAATATGGATTAAGATTTTTAGGGATTATACAGCATTTGACTGTGACAGGTTCCAGCCCTCTTGTGGCCCTGGATGCGATAAACTAGGAAAATGGATTCATGGATGGACTATTGTCATGTAATGGACACGAAACAAGTCAAATAAGTGCTAAACTCAACTGCCTAATGGAAACGTGTCAAAGTCAGAAAGAAAACACTTAAGTACTACATAGACTCATATCCTTATGCTCAGTTGTAGTTTAGCTGATTAAGCAGAAGAGAGAAGCAGCTAATATTTGGACTTTTCATAAAGGGGTGAGAACAGATGTCAAAAATAACATAGAAGATGAGTCTGGACTTTCATCTCCACTGTCCCAGTAAGCTAATATGTCTAACATGAACACCCTGGGACCAACAAATCTACAAACCGGATACCATAAAATCTGGCATGCTGCATAAAATGTAAATAAAAATAGAATGCAGTGATCTGCCCCCTAATCTTATTCACAATAGAGCTTAGAAAATATATCAAATGCTTAAACAGAGACATTTTATCGACAAATATTAACTTGTTTTGAACTTTATGACAGTCATACATCTTAAAAAAAAGGGTAAAGTAAAAAAGAAAAGTAAGTGGCACTAACACTAAAGAGCTGGAAAAACATGTGAAATCATTAGGTTAGCGGGTCAGTAACATGACTAGGTAGAAAATTAGCATCTTTGAGAGGCAGAGTTTCACCAATCTGTAAAAACTGCCACTGCATATCGGGGGAAAATTTCAGAGTTCTTAATATAAAATTGCAAACAGTTCAAATATGTAATGATCTACATCTACATCATGTCATGAAGAGAATGTGTAGAAATGTGCGTGTTAGACAAGGCCCAAAATCAATACTGGATCTTCAGGCCCTCATAAAGCATAGCATTAAATCACGGAAACAAGTGCAAGGGCCTAAGAAAACTTCCAGGAATTACTGTCTATGAGTACAATTCACAGTGCCATCCACAAATTCAAGTTAAAGCTCTATGGTGCAAAAGAGAAGCCATTCCTGATCATGATCAGAAAACTCTGCCATCTTCTCTAAGCCAAGGTTTATCTAAAATCCATCGAGGTAAAGAAGAAAACTGTTCTGTGATCAAACAAATAAAAATCTCAAATTCTTGTGTCATCTGGACTAAAGAGGAGACGGACCATCCAGCTTGTTATCAGTTTTCAATTCAAAATCTCTGATGGTATGGAAGTGCATTAGGGGGATGACAAACTTGCACATCTCAAAAGGCACCATCAATGCTAAATGTTATATACAGATTTTAGAGCAACACATGCTCTCATCCAGATACCCTCTTTTTCCTGGTAGGCGTTTTCATTTTTCAGCAAGAGAACGCTAAACCGCAACTGCACTTATTACAACAGCAAGTCCAGGTGATGAGCAGACATTTGAAGCATGATAAAAGGGAAAAAATGATGACAAATAAGACCCTGGACTGCAGTTAGAATCTTCTATCAGACAAGAATGAGATATTCATCTCCAAAAAGTCCCACAGCTGCCTTTCCTCAGTTCCCAGATGCTTACAGACTGTTTTTTAAAAGAAGAGGGATGCTACACAGTAGTAAACATGATTCTGTCCCAACATTTCTACATAATGTTGCATCAAATTGAAAACAAGCTTTTATTTTTTTTCTCTTAAAATTGTACATTTTCTCAGTTTAAATATTGGATATGATTTTTAGATTCTTTTGTGAATCAAATGTGAGTTTATGAGATTCGCAAATCATTGCATGCTGTTTTTATTTACATTTTACACAGCATGCCAATAGACAACATGAGCTAACATGAGCTAAAACAACTTTGTGAGTAATATATATTAGAGTTGAGCTTCTTTTGCTCAACCCTAATATATATATTTGCACTGACTATAACTACAGTCAGTGCACCCAAATCATAACACAACCGTTTCCTGTCTCACCTCTAATTGTGCAAAGCAGATTCCAGTATGCAACTCAAATTCTGCTGAGGTATCCCCCCCACCCCCTCATATAAGACATTTCTAATAGGTCATGGCAATAAAAGAAGTGTGAAAAGAGTCATTTTTAATGTTTCTTTATTAGAACTGCTTCCAATGAAACCTCTTTGCAGAAGGTCTGTGGATTATTCTGAGATGGAGGAAGCTGCTCGACATAGTTGTTCCATTTGACTTTATCCAGATACACCTGAACTCTGTATGTTTGTGGAAAACAACTCAGTCATAACGATTGTTTCTTTATGATTTGATGATTTGGGAGGATATGACATATAGATAAGTACCCACCAACACTTATCACTTATGTGCAGGTTTGCCTGGCTAGCACGATTTGTAATTATGAATGATGCCAGCATTGTATAGTGTGTATGTGAGATGAGAGGACAAGCTTATTTATGCTTCACGCTATGTCGCCAAGCTTGATTAGCTTCGTTCCGAGTTCGTTACATTACAATAAGAGAAGCAGATAAATCCAATGAGGATCTAAACGACTTGTGTGTGTGTGTGTGTGTGTGGGGGGGGGGGGGGGGGGGGGGGGGGGGGTACATAGCCATCTGGAAGCAAAACAAACGTGTCAGAGATGGCTCATACATTCACGTTTTAATAAAGATGCAATTCATTATAAGCTTCTGAGAAGTGCAAACGTGCGAGTGTCCCATTCCCCAGCTATTATAGTCCCTGTGATTGGCCGCCACATGGAGCCAGGCGGCTGGTCTGAAGAGAGAGGGAGAGAGGGAGACAGAAAGGGGGACGCCTGGTCCCTCGGCGAAGCTCGCCAACAAAAGCGAGCCGAGACAGCTGCTCTCTCCACAGTCCACACCATTAAAGCTCTCTGGAACAAGAGATCTGGGGGTGGCGAGGTGCCAAAAAAAAAAAAACCCTTCACTTCAAAGGTCTGAAGGGCTTCATTCATTCGGGGCACGGGGCTTCAGTGGCGCGTCTTAGCGGAAATGCTGATGCGCAATTATGGAAACAGCGCGTAAAACACGAACTTAACACGCAGCCCTGCATTTACCTGGAAGCATTCACAGATGCACGCTGACCCAGCCACTCTGCTCTGCTGTGAGGGTGATCTGAATAAAAATGACGTAAACAAAACATGTAATAACCAGGCCAGAGGGTTCTCTCAATGCGCCATATGCACGCTCACCAGCAAAGCACCCCAACGAATTCCAGGCGAATTAAATCATCAAAATTGGCATTATGAGAACACCTTTTGACTTATTCACAGTTGTGCAAATGTGTATATTGCAGTGTGTTTGAACACACATAAAAAAGATTTAAAAAAGTCGTCCACGTTGCACAGCAGCCAATGTGAGAATGCAGTTGCGCACAAATCAGAAGTCACAACAACAACGGGGAGAACAAACGAGGCGCAGGCCAACACCTGTCGCTTTCTTTGGAGAAGGACCCTTAATTCCCCGAACTGATTTAGTTTTGGCCGAGGGGCCGCCAGCAGCAGCAGCTGCCAACTGAAGGCATCGCGTTACATCCGCCAAACAGACGGGTAAATCTGCTGAGGCTCGGACACAAAAGCCAGCATAGAGGAAAAGAGGTCGGGCAAAAAAGAGACGGGGGCAGGGTTTAAATGCCTCGATGTGGTGTAGAATAGCGTCGTGCTCCAGTCATTTTGGTTGGGCTGGTTTGAATAAGTAACTGACTGGTTTATATTTGATAGCCTGAAGAATTTCATTTTTGTCTTGAGTTAAACGTATATTTGAGGCTTCTTCTAACATATGAACAGTCAAACAAAAACGAAAATAAAAACAAACAGCACTATTCTAACACTGTACTCTGTGTCTCTGTGCTGATTCGTTTTGTGCAGATGAATTATAAGTGCGAGCAGTTCACTGAAACTAACTGAAAGGGGGACAAAAAACGAGCGTTCGCTCCCCTAACCCAACAAATTGTCTGATTAAAGCCAGTCCAGCTCCTCGGGGCGCAGACCTGGGCTGACCGCAGACAAAGGGGGAAAGCGCTCATTGGCTCCGACCGTGTGCGCTCTGTTGTTCCCCAGCGAGAGCAGCACAGCCCCTATTCACATGTTAATAAGCCCCTATAAATACTAACAACAGCCACTCAGCGCCAGCAGCACGTCTGACTAGGATTACACAATAAACAGAGGGCGCCTCGCCTCGCCTACGAGTTTGTCGATTTTTTTTTCTGCCTCTAACCGGTTCCGTTTGCCAGCTGCCCCTCGAGGACCACTCAGGAGGTACGAACAGCGGTGGGAGAAGCCACAGTAACGGCGATCCAACCAACATGGCCCCCTCGGCTCGGCCAAACGGCCTCGGACTTGATGTGAAAGATGAAGATGAGTCCTACTGCGGGATACAGAAAGCGGATAGAAAGGTGGGGGACCGGTGGAGGCACTGTCCGGAGACACTTGGCAGTGACGCACTTGTCACGCCGCTTTAATGCTGCGTGTGCACAGTTATGAGACAGGGATGGTTAGTTTGGGAGGAAACCCTCAATGATTCAAAGTTAGTTACATGCTTTAGTGAGAGAAGAATGACGCTGGGTTGCCTTTGCGCACTAACCGCGGACAGGTGGACGCTTATGACTTTGAATGGTGCTTCTTTCCTCATGTCACTGAAGTGTTTTCTTTCTGTGCTCCCGCAGACGAGGAAACCTCTGGTGGAGAAGAAGAGGCGAGCTCGCATCAACGAGAGTTTGCAGGAGCTGCGGACTTTGCTGGCAGACACAGACGTGAGTACGGAGCGCACACAGCTCCTGCACTGGAGTTTCACTTTTGCTCTGCGCCACAATGAAGGCGTAAACTGTGGTCTTGGTGGTGCTCATCTGGTTTCTTTCCTCAGTTTCATTCCAAGATGGAGAACGCAGAGGTGCTGGAGCTGACCGTGAAAAAGGTGGAGGACATACTGAAGAACCGG